TTTCTTAATTAATGATGGGAGGGTTCAGCCCATTGTGGGTGTGCCACCCTCGACCAGTGGTCCTAGCTCTATAAGTAAGCAGACTGGAGCTAGGGTTACATGGGAAAACCCTGTCTCAAAAAACCAACCAACCAACAAACAACCCCCAAAACAAAATAAAGAAAGCAGGCTGAGCAAGCCACAGTGAACAAGCCAGTAAGCAGCATTCCTCCATGGCCTCTGCATCAGCTCCTGCCTCCAGGTTCCTGCCCTGCTTGATTTCCTGTCCTGACTCTCCTCAATGGAGTGCAAGCAAAATAAACCTTTCCTCCCCAAGTTGCTTTTGGTCATGATATAATAATAACAGCAATAATAACCCTTTGTTGTTTGGTTTTTGAGACAGGGTTTCTCTGTGTATCCTGGCTGTCCTAGAACTCACTCTGTAGACTAGGCTGTGCTGAGCCTCTGGGGAATTGCTTCTTTGATTGGCACACTTTCCCTGGGGAGGTTGCACCCTGCTGCATGTGCCAGGGGTTCTTCTCCATTGCTGGATCATACTTCTCAACATGGTGGGCCTCTGTCTAACCACTCTATTGAAGACCAGTCGGGCTGAGTCTGTTGGTGGGGGCTGGAGGTTGGGGATGTTACAAAGCTGCTGCAAGCTTTACAAACCTTGTAAACAGGGTTTGTTTTGACTTTACATTTTCATTCTCCAAGATAAAAACCCAGGAATGCAATGGCTGAGGTTTAGGATAGTTGCATGCTGAGATTTTTGTTTGTTTTTTGAGACAGGGGCTCTTACTATGTAGACTAGGCTGGTCTTGAACTCACAGAGGTCCACCTGTCTTTTCCTCCCAAGAGCTGGATTAGAGATGTATATTTTAAGAAACCCAGTGACATGTTAGAGCTGTGTGAGACTAAGGGGTTACTGAGTCGTCTCTAGCCATTGAGTGCTCACTGTAGAAGTCAGAGAGTAAACGCACATAGGAACTCACGGTAGTGCTGGTGTATGGCGTATGCTCATGATACTTCAATAACATTTAGGAGCTTTACTATGTGAAACTGCTGATAGAGAGTCATTGCGTCCTACACAATGGCAATTTTATGTATATCCTTCCTATATTGCTAATACAAGGTGTTGGGAAGCTCCACCCAGCCCCTCTCCTCCCATTCCAAACCCTGCCCCAACAAAGCCTGCCTTCGGTGGCTCCACCCCCAGGAGGGCATTAAAGCCCCCTCTTCATGGTTTCCCTCTGTGGTTTCTCTTCTTCCCCTGGAACCACCCAGGAATGCTTTGCTCATTAAGTCAGGACTATTATTTCTGCCTGATCTGATTTATTACATCGGCCGAGAGACCCAAAATCAGGGTACAGAAACTTTTCACAAGGCACAAACTGCATGTATGTGGTTCAAGATGCAAGGTCCACAGGACTCCCCTGGCTTCATGCCTGGTATGAAGGCCCTTTACAGGGTGCAGGGTGCCAACTAAGCCATGGGTTCTCTAAACAAGCCAGAGTGAGGTCAGTAGGAGGAGAGGGGTGTTCACATTCATCTGTCACCCCGTGGGTGGGGACCCTGCCAGTTTTGTACCAGACACTGAGTTCCTGTTGAACCCTAGAGTCCTGCCCCCCCCCCAATGCTCCACGCATCCTGCCTGCTCAGTGTTCCACCATGGTCCCCAAGATTCCCTTCAGGCTCTGCAGTTCCTTGTGGAGGTGCAGTGGGTTAGTGGGAGGCTGGGCGGTGAATTGGGGCTCTGAGCCTGGATTTGGGTCTGGTGTGAGTTCTAGGTTGTTATTTATTTGAGATTGCCTTGAATCCATGGGAGACTCTGAAGACCCTCTCCCCAAGATGGCTCAGTGTGTAGCCATGCTGGCAGACCTGAGGTATGTGTGTGTGTGTGTGTGTGTGTGTGTGTGTGTGTGTTTGTGTGTTACTAGGAACTCTGTAACTGCCTGAGAGACTCCTATCTCAAAGGAAAGAGTTTTAAAAACTGGGAGCCCGAGAGGGGTGGAAGATAGGGGTATGGTCAAAAGACCTGGCCATACACAAAAAACTTCCTTTTTGGAAGCTCTTGGGAGGACCCTTCATGGAGGCAAGGCAGATTCCTCACTGTCTCCACTTCCCTTGAGGGCCAGTTCCAGAGGTAGGCAGGCTGGCATCTCAGCTCCCCCAGCCTGGCCTTCCTGGCCCCTGAGTTTCTCTCCCTGCAGAAAATTCAAGGCTGAGGGCCAGGCTACCCAGAACCCTAGGATGCAGAGTCCCACCATGCCATCCCAGGCAGCCTCCAAAGCAGATCTGAACTGCTTTTGGAAGCCACTCGGAGTGGGAGAATTGGCCTCCGATTGTCATGCAAATTGTAGGCTATAGTGATTAGCATATATGCATATTCATCACGCCTGGCAGGTGGTCTGGGCTCACAGCAGGAGGACACTTCTGGCTGGTTAGGAACAGTTGGAAAGCATTGGAAGAAAGCCTACCATTGTCTGTCCTGCCTAAGCCATAAGGTAGGAGGGCAGTTTCTCTGCAGAGGCCCTGTGGGATTTGGGGTATCAGATATTCTTGGGCCCCAGAAGGAGCATCTGGTGACCTTGGAGATGAGGCACAAAAGGGTAGAGGCCAGGGCACCTGCAGTGGTGACCCACAGTCACAGCGACCCATGGCAGGCTGGGGTGGGTGTCCAGAGCAGTAAAAGGAAGCTGGGCTAACCTGGAGCTCAGGGCAGAATGTGCCAGTCTCAGGGTAAGTCACTAGGCCACTTTCTACACTTGGGCTGCAGTTTCCCTGTCAACAATCCCATGTGAAACAATGGTACACCTGTAATCCTAGTACTTAGGTTGAGACGGAGGACCAAGAGTTCATGGCCATTTTCAGCTGCATAGCTATTTTGAGGCCAGCCTGACCCACATGAGGCTGTCTCAAAAATGAGCTGGGTAGATAGTCAGTGGGTAAGTGCTTACTGTGTAACCGTGAGGACCTGAGTTCAGATCCCGCAGCACTTCCTATAAAAGCTGGGTGTGGTGGTGTGCATGTAACCTCAGCACTCTGTGTGTGTGTGTGTGTGTGTGTGTGTGTGAGAGAGAGAGAGAGAGAGAGAGAGAGAGAGAGAGAGAGAGAGGGTGAAACACATGAATCTTTTGCTGGCAGCCAGACAAAACAGGATGCCCCTAGTTCTGTGAGAGACCCTCTCTGAGAGTGGACAGGACTTCATGAAGAAGCCTGAGGCCTTGAGGCCTCCCCATGCCTCTCTCTGGTCATCCCAGTTCCTAGAGGATCAGTCTCTGTGACATGTGACTGTGACCTGGCTGTGAGCCACTCCATTACCCAGTCATACATCTCCACAGGGAGCCCTAAGGCCCCCAATGTCTCCCATCTGAGCTTATCCTCTCTTGTTAGCACACCCACACAGAACACCTGTTTGAGCATCACCCAGGTTCCGCCCCTTCCATCTCTACTCTTGTCCCAGAATTAGCGGTCCTTTCCTCCGTTCCTGCTCAGCTTCCCAGGCTGAGGACCTGGCCTTGGTTTCCCCACTGCACCACAGACTCACTCTCTTCCGCTCAGGCTGTTTGAGTGGGGAAGGGTCACAACTGCTGCTGGATAGGTAGAGAGAGGGTCTCTATGTTCAAATGTGCCTTTTCCAGAATCACCACTTACCTTCTGACTATGTCAGGTTGTCACCAAAAATAAAGTCCAATATGGATGAGGAGCCACAGACCTGAAAGCACTTGGAATGTCTGCTGTGTGGTAGGAGGCAGGGGGAGTCAGGGGAGGCTGGGGGAGGCAGGAAGGAAGAGGCAGGAGGCAGGAAGAGGCAGGGGAAGACAGAGGAGGCAGGGTGAGGCAAAGGGAGGCAGGGAGAAACAGGGGGAGACAAGAGGAAGAGGGAGAGGGAGAAGAAACTGGATGCAGGGTGGACTGTTTCACAGAGACTGTAGAGGCCAGGCCAGGTAGGTGAAGAGGGTGACAGGCTCCTATCCTGATGTCATTGTTCTTTTTGTTAATTTTTAAACTTTAAGTCTTTGTTTCATTGAGGCAGGGTCTCTCTGTGTATCCCTGGTTGGCCTGGAACTTGCTTTGTAGTTCAGACTGGCTTTGAATCCACAGCAATCCACCTGCATCTGCTTCCCAGTGCTGGGATTAAAGGTGTGCACCACTATGCCCAGTTTGCCACTGTCCTCTTAGAGGGCCCAGGTGTTAGTCTCTACACCAGGAATCTAGTTTTCAATGACATAAGCTTCCTGCAGTGTCCACAGGTTCTTTGAGTCTAAATTTCTGCTATCATAATAACAAAGTTTCTAGGAGTCAAGACCTTAAGAAAGGATAAAAAAAAGATCAAAATCTCATGGGGAGCATCCAGGTAGGGAAGCTAGGCTGGTGTGGACTCAAGCCCTGAGAACCTTCTGGAGGTCGCTGGGCTTGGGTCTGTAGAGGGGAGAGGGGCACCCCTCCTTCTGACATTCCATTTTAATAACATTCCACGTGTTCTAATTAAACCTTCCGTGCTCCCTTTGAAATACTAGCAATTACAAAGATGAATAATTGCATAATAAATATTAATTTGCATCATGGTAATGAGGCCCAGAAGCATCCTGCTGTTAAGTGAGAATTTAGCTCTTTCCTCTCCCTGGGTGGGGGGGGGAGGGGAAGAGGTGGGGATGCTTCTGCCCAGGAGGGATCTAGCTACCTCAGGCTGCAGGGGTGGGCTGTGCTGGATGTTCAGAAGCTAGTGTCCCACCTGCCTACACTCTTCGGTGCCGGAGTGTGCATGGCTGCCTTCCTCTGAGCCTCAGTTTCTCAAATTAACAATAACAACTGTGCAAAGGCCCTTGCTGGCTCCAGCAGTCTAGGACTGGAAGTTTCTAAGGTTGTGTTAATGAGATCCAGCCCTCTCTTCAGGCTTGCTGACTGTCAGCAAAGCTGCTAGAGTCTGAGGGTCCTGAAGCTTGCCCTGTCTGAAGGGGCTGCTCAGAATTGTCTTTTCCCATGAGCTTCTGAACACAGTCGTGCCCCTGGGGAGCTGGATGACTGGAGCCGTTTTTTTTTCTCTCCAGAGCCCCAGGCCTGTGTTCAGGAGACAATGAACAGCCACTGAGTGTTCCTGGGGAATGAACACAACACCGCCCACCTCCCCCAGCCCCCACCTGTTCTTGCACATGCCAGACAGGTGCTCTACAACTAAGTCTCCCTTCCAGACCCTTAGGCCCAAGCCCGGCCTCCCTGGCTGTGCAAACCTTTGGACTGAAAAGACTCCTTGAAGAGATTTCACATATTCACTGTTTGGAGCCTCCTAAATGCAGTGCAGACCTGAGAAGAGGCCTGGGTACACATCCCTCTACTCTGGTGGCCTCGTACCTTCCAGTGTTAGAGAGCGTGCACTTTCACCTGCTCCCACCCTGGCCAGGCAGTTGCAGCTTTGATTTGGCAAAGTCATTTGCCTTTAGGTGAGAACATCGTCTGTGCTGAGTCTGTCAGCCAGCTCAGTTTCAGAAGATTCAGTCCAGGATGGTTCCGTTAGGGCCAGAGGTGAGGCAGAGTTGTCCTGGTGGGAGCATGTGACAGAGAAATACAGCTGCTTGCCATATGGAAGCCAGAAGCAGAGAAAGTGAGAGAGGCAGAGAGACAGAGAGGCAGAGACACACACACATACACACAGAGACAGAGAGAGACAGAGAGACATAGACACAGAGAGACAGAGAGACATACACATATACACAGAGACAGAGAGAGACAGAGACACACAGAGAGACAGACACACACACACATACACACAGAGACACAAAGAGAGACAGAAATATAGACACACAGAGAGACAGAGACAGAGAGACACACACACTCAGAGACAGAGAGAGACACACAGAGAGAGGGACTGTACTAGACTATACTGGCTAACATTCCCACCACCTCCCAATAGCCACTTTGGCTAGGAACAGATCAATGGATAAATCCAAGCATAAGGTCAGACCTCTCATGATCCAGTTGCCTCAAGACCCTGCATCAGAGTCCAACTCAACACACAACTTCTCAAGGTGTGTTCTGGGTCTAAACCCCAGAATCCCTTGTCTGCTCACTGGAGTCTTGAGGAATGAAGTCACCTCAAAAAATGTTTCTAGAACACATAGCTACCCCTGGGCCTTGGGGTCCCTCTAAGCTCTTTCTCTCTGTATCTGTTGCCGACAAAACCATGGTGGACTTATACATGGTGTTTTCTGCAGACTCTCATCTCATCGGAGTTATATATCCATGTTTGAGGGTTTTCTTTGTGCAGAAATGTAAAGAGCTCCTTTGCTTTCTAGACTGACAGAGTCTGTGGCCTTTTACCCTAGTCTCTCTGAACTTTGCTTGGGGCCACTGTGGCTCCCAGGACCCTCTGGGCCTCCTTTCTCTACTCTGCTTCCCTTTACCCTAAGACGTCTCCATCCTGGACACCAGCCTGAGGTCTGTGAGTCCTGCTCAAGTTGGGAGGCCTGAGAGTAGCTTGGGGACCTCTACCTGACTGGGGTAAAAAATGTGAGTGAGGGGTCTGGGGAGAAGCCCAGCTGGCAAGGTGCCTGCCATGCAAATTTAAGGACCTGAGTTGGAATCTTCAGCTCATCACCCATGTTACACCCAGGAGCAGTGGCTCATGTATATAACTCCAGTGCTGGGGGCAGGGGGGCAGAAACAGGTGGGTCCCTGGGTTAGGTCCCTCATTGGCCTGCTATCCTAAGGGAACTAATGAGTTCCTGTTCATTGAGAGACTATCTTTAGAAAAGTGGCTAACACTCCTAGAAATAGTGGAGAGGGTGCCTGAACTATAACCATATTGGTGACTACTCTAATTGTCATTAGAGAGCCTTTATTCATTAACTGATACAGAGATCCACAGCCAAGCACTGGGCCAAGCTCCAGGAGTTGAGGGAGGAGGGATTGTATGAGCCTGGCATGGTGGGTGGAGGGGTCAAGGTCATGATGGGGAAACCCACAGAGATAGCTGACTTGAGCTTGTAGGAACTCAAGGACTCTGGATCAACAGCTAGGGAACCTGCCTGGGGCAGACCTAGGCCCTCTGCCTGTGTGTGACAGTTGTGCAGCTTGGTCTGTTTGTCAGGTTCCCAGCAGTGGGACCTGTCCCTGGTGCTTGAATTGGCTTTGGGAACCTATTCCCCATGCTGGGTTGCCTTATTCAACCTTGATGCAGAGGAGGATCTTGGGCCTGCCTCACCTTGGTGTGCCATGCTTTGTTGACACCCATGGGAGGCCTGCCCTGCCCCTTTCTGGTCAGAGACAGAGAAGCAGATGGAGGGAGGTAGATGGGAGGCAAGGGGAGGGAACAGGAGGAGAGGAGGGAGGGGAAACTGGTCGGTATGTGAAATAAATGAGAAAATATTTAATTAAAAAATGTGGGATGGAGAGTGATTGAGAAGGACACGCACTGATGGGGGAAGTGCTTCTGTGTTTGTGTTTGTCTTATAGGTTCCACAAGCATGCACCCCTTGTGTGCACACACTTACACATATAAACACAGGTTTACATGTGCACCTACATACAAAGAATCCGGATTTGACGGACCTGAGAGGAGAGGCCCTGCCTCAGGCGGATTTGAGACTTTATTATGCACGCTGGTTGTCTTGGCACACACCTGTGAACCTGGCACTCATGTTGGGAGGACAGAAGCAGGAGAATCTTGAGTTTGAAGGCAGCCTAGGCTGCATAGTTCAAGTTCAGCCTGTTTCAAAGTGAAGCTAATTTTCTGTCCTGTGGCCCTGTGGAGATGGGGCCTTGTGGGTCACAGTGGAATGTGGAGAAGGGACTGTGTCAGGGAACAGAGCCTGGACTGAGGTAGGAGACTCTTCAAATAGCAGGGTTTGTGTCTGGGAGATGGAGAATGAGAGGTCAGCAGAGGTCAGCAGGGGTCGCTAGAAGGGGTCAGGTGCTGTCTGAGGTGGGATTGCTCTCCAGGGTTTGAAGCCTCCAGGGTTTCCAATGGGATTTGCTAGTTTGACATGTGGAAGCCTTCTTCCTAGTGTAGGGCCTAGAGCAGCTTCCACGCTGGAGCCGGGGCCTCACCACTGCCTCCTATAGTCAATCCCAGTGCCAGGAACTCTGACATGCTGTCTGACTTCTGCAGGGCCACCCATGGTGTGGACAGTTGGTGGCCTTCCCCACAGTCTCCCCTTCACACTTAGTCCTGGCTGTCTTCCCTCACAGCCATTGCAGTCAGCCACAGGAGGCCAACCTATGACACTCTCCAGTTCTTCCAGCATAGGCGCCTTGGCCTTCAGGGCCCTTCACAGTCTCCTGTCTGCTTCTCCTTGTGCTGGCTTGTTGTGAGTGACTGGTCCTCTGAGCCACACAACTGCCATCTTGGGGAGTTCAGCTGTGTCCTCTTGTGAAAGGTCCTCCCAGCTGGGCTTGTTGACTGTCCGCACTCTGGTGGAGTGTGGGAGATTATGAGACTCTCACCTGAATATTCAGCCCTCTGCCACCTATTGTTTGTATCTCTGCCTTACTTGCATGTGGCCACAGGGAGGGGTTCATGGGCCAGGGAAGACAAGCAGAGGGGCACCATCTTTGTGTGTAAGGGAAGCCCTCACCCCTGCTGGGTAAAGGCTTTCCAGGTGTCTCCTGTTGGAATAGGTGCACCCACACCCTTGAATGCATACTATACTCTGCTGTAAGAAGCCCAATGAAACTACTGGTCCCCAGATTGAACTTGGGTGGAATTGTGCCTCAGTTTGTCATTGGGACACTAGGAGAGGGGGAGCCATTGCTTATGTCTCCCCCTGGGGAGGAATTTTAGCAACATGACTATTTGCTAAACTCCAGATCTTGTTGTTATCAGCAGACAGGCAGGGGGCTACCTTTGCACCTGCATGTTTTCCCCAAACTCCTGGGGTTCACATCATATCTCTAGGCTGAGGTCAATCAAGGTGAAGGACCCCAGGCCTCCCCAGTAGTCCTCCCTTCTCCCCTTTCCCTCCCTCCCCTCCCCCTTCCCTTCTTCCTCTTTTCCTCAATTTAGAGTCCTGTTAGGTGGTTTCAGAAAGGTTTCTCTACCCAAGGGATTAGCCTTGGCTGTATGCTAGAGTTCTGCCTGCTGATTACACTATATCTGTGCTTCTCTCTGACTCCTGTGCCTCCCACATGTGGGCCAGACAGGGCCTTCAGTGACAAGGCCCTGCTGCATACAGCAAGCACTGGCCCTGGAAGGTCAGGGCAAGGTTCCACACCTGACCCTGTGAGCCTTAATCTGCCCCGCAGTCCCCAAAAGCTACCTGTAGGGGGCGGCCTTGCACCAACATGGACAGGCCTATGAGCTCTTCCATTTGCCAGGATCTGGTGTAGTTGACAAGTGGGGCAGCTTTGCCAAGCCCTTGCTCCCATGTTTGCTAGAGTCAAGTGTGTCAGGCCACAGCAAGCATGGTGCCATCCCACCAGTCCACCCCAGCCCTGACTGGCTCTGTTGTCTTGATGCTATCCTGTTGTCTCTACCTTCGTGGCTGGAGTGCCCGCTACACAGGGATAGGACTTAGGGGACATTTGTCATAGGCAGATGGAAGGGGGACTGTCAGAGTCTAAAGCATGCTCAGGAAGCAGGGTAGTTATGGCCCTGGGGGAAAGTTCTAGATAGAAACTCAGGGTGCTGGGGCAGGAAACCAGGAAGAGCCCTGTTCCTAGACAGCCCAACGTGCCAGTTCCTGTCACCTGTGGCTACGCCCTGGATGTGCCTGCCTTCAAGATGTCAGAAGATAGTGGAGAAGCTGCTTCTGAGGGTTAGAGATGTTTACCACTAAACACGGAGCTCCTGTCACCATGGCAACAGCCCAATCATCTCAGATCCCCACATCTGCCCAGCACCTGGCTTTTCTTAATTTGAGTCTCAGGCATTGACTCATGAAGCCTGCTGGCATTCATGGGTCCAGGAATTCAGTTAGTAATTATCCCACAGGTGGGAAAACTGAGTCTGAGAGAAATCAGAGACCCAGGTCCCACATCAGGATTGTGCTTCCATGGCTCCCAGCAAGAGGGCTGCCACATCCTCCCTGTACCAGCTTCTTGGGTGAGTGGCAGCTCATGGCCCACTTTAGGAAAAGGTCCCAGCTTGCTGTCTTCATGTCCAGAGTGAGCTGTGAAGGGCTGGAAGGGCAGAATACTGGTCATGCCATGTGCATGAGCCTCTGGGTTTGGGGAAGAAGGGGGTTTCTCCCTCATACCTGGGCCCCAGGATGTGTGATCTGTGAATGCTGTGCTTGTCTGTGGTATGGGCTGCCCTGGATAGTGCAGGAGCACGTGTGGGCTACTCCTTCTGAGTCGGCTTCAGCCTCCTGCCTGCATGCACACACTTGCCTTCTCCCTTGACTGCTGCTTTCTCTAAGAGGCACTCTACCCTGGGTGACCCTGGAGGGCAGATCTGGCTGTTGCCCCATGCAGCACACTCCCTCCCTGGACGGGCTACTTCTAAGGGCAAACCTTGGCAGAGAAGTGAGCCTGGTAGAGGCAGAAGTCCCCCTGACCACAGTCCACCCTCCTAGGCTGTTCCTTTGGGAGATCCTCTTGTCCTCAGGCCATTCCAGCCAGAACCAGCAGAGGAGGAACCTGACCCCAAATCCCTGTCCTTGGCTCTTCCCACCTATGATTCCCCAGGATGGACAGGGAAGGGAACGGGGTGGGACAGCCATTAGCAGATGCTGTTTCAGCTGCTGATTCATTAAAGTCACAGTCACAAGTGTCACCTGGGGCCAGACGTTTGGGCTATTCCCATTGTCCTCTAGAGGGTCTTTTTTGTTGTTGTTTGAGACAGGGTTTCTCTATAGCTTTTGGAGCCTGTCCTGGAACTTGCTCTGTAGATTGGGCTGGCCTCAAACACACAGAGATCTGCCGGACTCTGCCTCTCGAGTACTAGGATTAAAGGCATGCACGACCATCTCCTGGCTGCTCTCTAGAGGGTCTTTAGGCAGCATTGCTAGTTGGATAGTGGATGGTTAGAGTCTTCCAGGATCTCCCAGGCCTCTGTCCTGCAAGGGTTCCACCTGCCTGCTACCTCTTAGGCTCCCAAGGAGGAGTAATCACTGGTGCACTGAAGCGCTTGTCTCATGTCTGTCAGGAGCCAGCAGCCTCATTTACCCTGCTAACTGCAGGCCTGATAAATATGAGTGTTGTCAGATGACCCTGGCAGAGGGCTGCTCCATTAGGCTGAGGACAAAGAAACACAAACAACCTTGTGATTGCTTCCACCCTTCAAACGAGGCTTCCTCCCCTGCCCACTCCACTTTGTACCTCTTACCACCCAGGTACTGAGGCTGTTGGAATCCCAGAATGGCATACACATTTTGTTCAGGGAAAGGCTGGCTCCTCTGGGGGTCTACACTATGCTATTTGCTCTGGCTTCTTCGTCTCCCACCGTCAGCAAAGAGAGGCAAGGGAGAGCTGAGCGGCCATCCAGGGCCTGAAAAACAGGCTGCACCAGGCCTCAGCCCTATGCGGTCTTTGGTTTTTACTCCGAGTAAGGTCTCTGGGGGTCTACACTATGCTATTTGCTCTGGCTTCTTCGTCTCCCACCATCAGCAAAGAGAGGCAAGGGAGAGCTGAGCGGCCATCCAGGGCCTGAAGAACAGGCTGCACCAGGCCTCAGCCCTATGCGGTCTTTGGTTTTTACTCTGAGTAAGGCCAGAAGCCTTCTAGATTTTAGAGAGAGACTGGGATGAGGCTGGGAGCTTCAGGGACACCCAGGACCAATAATGGGGCCAGTCTGGGGACCATTTACTGGTGACAAGCAGCTGACTGAGGGACACAGGACATAAAAGAAGATCCGGTATAGCTCAGTTATGAGCCAAGAACTGGAGCCCCAATAATGGGGCCAGTCTGGGGACCATTTACTGGTGACAAGCAGCTGACCCAAGAAATGCTCTGACTGAGGGACACAGGACATAAAAGAAGATCCGGTATAGCTCAGGTATGAGCCAAGAACTGGAGCTCACTTTCTGGGATGGAGCAGGTGTGGGGCTCATCAGCGCATGCTGACTTGGATGCAGTTGCCATGGGTCCAATGTTACCACAGTTCACCTGCTGGAAGCTAACGGGGCTTTTAGAGGTGATGACTGAGGTTCTGCCCTGAGTCTTGTATTAAAGTCCTCTGTGTGGGAGTGGCCTCGGGTATCAAGTTCTGGTTATGATAGTAGCACTCTTGCCCTCTGCCTTCTGCCATCAGATGGGGCAACTTCAAAGCCCTCCCCAGATGAGAATGCCTATGACCTGGGACTCTCCCGTCTTCAGAATCGACAGCCCAATTAACCTCTCTGCTCATTATCACTCCCCTGACTTGGATGATGCATTGTAAACACAGGGGAGCCAGGCAGGGCCAGAGGAAGTCTGGGATGGAAAGAAAGGGAAGTTTCACCTAGGAATATTTCTTTATCTATCTCGAATAGGATTTTCCTGGGTCATTTGCTGTCAGAGTGCCACTAAATCAGGGAGGGGACTATGATCAGGGAGGCTTAAAACAGACATAATTTTCTCTTTCTCAGTCTGAATGCTAGACATCTGAAACTGAGCTGGCCATAGGGCAGTGATTCCTCCAAAGTACTCAGGAGGAGGGTCCTCCCTGCCTCTTCTGGCTCCCGATTTTGCTGGAAGCAGGGGCATTTCCCTGGCCTTATAGGCCCATCCCTCCCATCTCTGCTTGGTGGTCACACAGCCTCTCTCCTCCGTGTTTTTACATCATCATTCCCTTTTCCTGTTTGTACCTGTACCCACCCATCCAGCATGGCCTCATGAGTGTCTGCTCACATCTCTCCTCTCTTGTCCACACACCCCCTGTCTGGGCTTTTTTCTGGGACATTCCCTGTTTACCATTTATGGTCTCTCCAAAGTACCAGACAAGCAATTCTTCCCAGTGAAGTGGTGGTGAAGGGCATCCCATGGGTGACCTGAGCTCCAACTGGTCACCTGCCTGGCACATGTGAGTGCCTTGTCTTGCTGATGCGTCATTCTTGTGAAGCAGGTTAAGAATGAAGGAGGTGATGTGCTGGGCAGTGATAGCCCCTCATGGGGCTATGGCTGTGACTACTTTGCCTTATCTGAGAGGACTGCTGTGGTGTCCCCAGAGTGTCCCCAGAGTCTGGAGTCACTGCTTCCAGGACAGCAGGATTTTTTGGAAGTGGAAGGTGGTGTCAAATGAATACAAGGCTCTTTTTGTTTGGTATTGCAAAGATCAAGGGCAGAGCACTGCAGGAGTCCCAGGTGACTGTATAGGGTACCTGCCTGAGAGGCCTGTTGACAGTCGTAGGAGAAAAGGATCCCAGGGACAGCTCAGAAGCTAAGTGCATGATTTCACAGTCCTGTCAAGCATTTACATTGGACACAAATTGCCTTTCTTCTTTTCAGGCCCATTTCAGGCTTGGCAGACCCATGAATATTTGATCAGGGAAATAATTTTCTCGGGTGCTTGAGGATGGAGGGGGCCCGGGAGGCAGGTATCCCCTGGGGACAGGAAGAGGCTATTCAGTGCTGAGAAGGGCCAGCTTGGGACTGGGCCAGCTGCAAAATGTTGCTGGCTCTTCTGGCTGGTGAGGGTGACGGATAGAGGCTTCTCTAGTCTAGAAGCAGGTGTGCTGGCTGGAAGCAGGGAAGCTCCCAGTGTCCAGGTACAGGTAAGGACTGGATACTAGAGTGTCCAGCCTGCGTTTTGGTGGGGTGGGCTAGATGCACTCCCAGAATAAAGAGACAACCTCCATAGAAGTCTTCTGTGTAGATAAGTTCTGCTCCAAGAATACACTTGATCTAGAAGTCACCTCAGATAGCATCCAAGGCCCTCTTGCTGATGTCAGCACTCCCACATCTGTGGGAAGATGGGGCTGATCAAGCTTTGTGTGTGCATGTGGGTGTAGCTTGGAGCAGGGGTGTGGTGTGTGTACACAAAGCCTGGGTGCTCAGCTGGCTCTGAGCGGGTGCTGGGTGTTCTTAGCTATGACTCCCTCTTTCTAGCTGGGAGACTAGACAGCTTTCATCCCCACTTAGTGCCCTGACTCTGGTCAGCAGGGCATGGTGCCTGTCTTCCAGGTTAGCGGCCAGAGAGCCAAGTTCTTCTTTGCAGGTGTTGTAGGGAGGATTGAAGGAGCGGAAGTGAGTCCCTGCTTGCATGTCTTCACGTCCCCACTAGGGTCGCCAGAGCTGGCTTTAGCCAGGTGACCCTCCCCAATCCACTCTAAATCTTGCATTGGCAAAGGGACATTATCATTATAGAGGTTACAAGATTAGGACCCTGCAAGTAGTTAATTGTCCTGGACTATTTAGGTGGCTTGACATGGTCACAGGGTCTTACAAGAGGTATGCTGAGGCAGGAGAATATGCAGACAGTATGGCCTGGAAGGCCTTGTGCAAAGCCTTAACAAAAACTCCAGCGTGTATGCAGGTGACTTGTGGCTCACCCCTGGGTGGAGACTTAGGATGCCAATGAGACATAGGATGTATGAAGCTGTATGTACAACTACATGTGTGAGAGAGAGCATGTGCAGTAAAGCCTGTTTTATGCCAATGAGCCCCAAATCCTCCTCTATGCGTCATCCAAGCAGGGCCTTTTGTGTACCTCTGCTGGTTGGGCTGGCCCCTTGGAAGTAGATCTTTTGGTCACTGCTTCTGTTGCAGCTGTGTGTCTCTGCTCAGTTCTGTTTGGGAAATAAGAACCTGGAACCCCTTATCATCCGGGCAGGGACAATGGCAAGATCTTCTCCCCAGTCCCCAAACTTCTGCTGAGCACACTGTGTTTTCTGGCTTGCTGACTACTGTGCAGTCTGGGGCATAGCTGTTCACTGGGAACCAGGGCTGGTGAATGTGTCAGGCCTGTCCCTACCCACTCCAGGGAACACAGGAGCTGCCACTGTGGCCACTAGGAGAGGGCAGGTGGAGCTTCTCTGAGTCCTTTCTGTCCCTCTTCTTGTTCCCCATAGTCACTGCCGATTGCTCAGCACCCCTGTCCTGTTTCAGCTCTTCGGTCTTTGAACAAAAGTTACTCCAGAAGGAAGCCACACCTTACAAGGCTGA